ATCATGTTTTGTGCCTTGGCCACTTTTTATTCGCTGGACTGTGTATAGATTTGAAGAAGAAGATACACTTACCTGTTTCACCCTTGTCACCCCTGGTGCAGGTCAGAGTCCAGTGTCCATATTTTAGAATGGCTTGTAAGCTATGCTTCCATCTTCCTAGGGAAGAATTGTCAATATGAGTGTTACATCAAGGTATGGACAAGACAGGTCACGTAGGAGAGGTGTGGGGACTTAGCAGTGGATGGTCTAGCCACTGAGCATTTGTAACCACCCATGGGCTGGCTGTTTTTTGTAATGTTCTGTGACTTGAGACCAAACTACACTGGGTAGTTTCTCTATTCCAGTCTGGCCGTGAAGAGCCTGAGCTACTCATTTTTAAAGTCATACCCTGCTAGGATACTTACTTTGGTCTTCTTAAGAAGAGAATTGGTCTTAAAAAGATGTGCCTTCATTACCAGTATAAAACATACAAGTATACTTCCACAAGATTCTGTGGAAAGCACACATGGAAAAAATTATGAATCTCCTTCTTTCAAAAATATTGACTTCATTAGTCAAATGGAGATGTTTTCTTAGTTTCAAGAAAAAACATATTCCTTTCAGCTGAAAATGGGAAGGAATTTACTAAGTTTGAGAAACTAAAAATAACTCCTGGCTGGGCTTATTCCTGTCCCTGTCTTAGGGGCATTTACTCCTGATACTATTATGACAGGAAATTCCAAAAGCGTGAACGTTCTCTGGCATTTTCATACAATCAAGTGTTGATGTTTTGTTTAATTTGGACATGGAGGAAAGCAGTTTTGCTTTGTATGCATCCTAGTGTCCAGTAGGTGCCATGAAAAGGCGATTTTGTGCAGCATTTAGATAATGAAAGCCTTTAAGAATTCACAGGAGTGATGGAATCTGAGACTAGTTGACATTTTTCTCTAGCTCTGTTGGTCTCCATTACAGACAATGGTGCTTTACACAAACACAGTGCTCACTTATGCTGTATTATTGTTCTAAGAGTGGATTCCGAGCTTTCTTTAATACTACCTTTTAGGTTATTACAGCAATTGATAATGATGAGCCCTTCTGATGACTATGAGATGTCTAGGTATTGGGAGGAGATAAATAAAGGGTTGAAGAGTTATGAAATATTCAGATGTTTTAAAACATTCAGTCCAGAGTTTGGTTAAGAACGTTTCTGTTGTTCTTAGTCTCAGCTCTTATTTGTCAGTTGTCTATCAACACTTGAGCATGATAAGGTCATCCCCAGGAGTGCCAACAGCATCTCTTTAGGAGAGGGATGAAGGTAAGAAAATGGGGACTTCCAGATTAGAGAATTTTTGGAGCACTCTGAATTTCCAGGCTTATTGTTCTCTTTCCAAGCTAACCCCCCCCCCCCAAATCATCTTGGTTAGTTTATTTATTTATTTATTTATGTGCCAGTACTGGGACTTGAACGCAGGGCCTGGGAATTGTTCCCTTAGTATTTTTACTCAAGGCTAGCACTCTACCAGTTGAGCCTTACCTCTACTTTCAGCTTTTCGGTGGTTCATTAGAGGTAAGAGTCTCATAGACGTTCCCCCTAGGCTGATTTCCAACCATGCTCCTTGAAACTCATCCTCTTCATTAGCTAGGATTTCAGGAAGGAGCCACTGGTGCCCAGCTCTCCACCTTGGTTTATAGGTAGCATTTTTTAAAGCTTCATTTTAAATAGATTTCTGAAAAGATAGGCAGTACAGTGAAGAAAGCCCTTTGCATAGTCATGAGTTCAGTTCTTGTGAATTTTATACACTCACCACAAGGGTCAACAACTCCCTAGAGCAAGCTGAAAGATGCTCTCTGTTCTTGGGATACACCTGGGACATTTGCCTGTGTTTCTTAATTTTGCTTTTAAAAATCAGTGGAGAGTGTGTTTATTAGAGCCTCTGGGGCTACAGGTAACTGGATAGAAAACTATCTAATGACTGACTTAAATGCCTGTTGAACAATGACTTTGTATTTGGGGCTGCATTCATTATTTTGGATGAAACAAAATTATCATTGAGAAATTTAGTATTGTTCTGTTATTGTTAAAGTGGGTATCTACTGAATCCTCTCAATCCAGTTCTTGCCTCTAATATGGTAATCTGTTATCTCTATTTCATTATCTGGAAGGTGAAAGTTGCTAGGTGGCTCAATGGAAAATTCCAAGTCCTTTCATTCTGGGTTGGCTGTCTTTTCGGATCAATCTTTCTGCTAATGACAACCAATACTTTCATATGTGATTACAGGCCTGCTCCATCTTTTCATGAGCCGAGACTCTTTGGAATCATATGTATCGATCTTTTTAATAGAAGTCAGGAAAAATAAAATTACTCTGGCTTCTTGCGGCAAAACGATGATAAATGAGAACTTGGAAACTTATGGGAGAAATTTTTTCTGCCTTGGGTTATTTTAATCACTAAAAATGATTGTCTTTTTAATAATATTTGCCTTCCATTATGCACATTTGCAGCAAAGCCAAAAATTGTTACTGTATTGCTTTATGTGGCCACATTGGGGCAGAGGCCTGTGGTGTTCCTGTACCTGATGGTGGCTTCCTACCCCTAGTAGGAGGAGAAAAAGAGCCAAGTTCATGGCCTTCGATGCAGTCCCAAGCTGGTTTCAGTAGAGAACTTCTGATGGAAAAGAATTTTCTCTCTATATATTTAATTTGCTATATGCATGTATATATATATATATATATATATATATATACACATACACACATATATTTAACACTTGTTTACAAGCACACCGTCAATACCATTGTCTTAGGTAAAAGCTTGTACTTCTTTCTTTTTATCACCCTCATCCCTTCTTAGTTTTCATTGGGTCCAAACTAATTATTTTCCAATGGCTTTTATTTTCAGTGTAAGATGCATATGTGATTCCTTGCCCATGGTTTTTGGTTGCTTTCTGTGTGCTCTTGGAAGCTGTGGTGGTGCTGCCTTGTTGAAAATGAGGAACTAAGCATGTGAGGTCACTGTTGTATTACCCTTAGAGAGCTACAATTACAGGCTTCAGTTTAGAAACGGACTTTCCTGTTTTACATTTGGATCAAGTCACTCTTTCCCAGTGGAAGATTGTTTCCTTGGTTTGAGAGAGCACATGGCCAACACAGAAGATCAAAGCACATCAATACCCCCACCCACAGAGCAGATCTCTGAAGAAATGAATGAGGATCAAAACACCACAGATGTTAGACGTGTGGCTTGCTTGGCTTGACTTTGGAGATGTATCTTTAAGAAGAAAGACCCGTCCCACTGAGATACTGTGTAAAGAGCCTGCATGGCCCGTGGCATTGTACCGCTGTGACACAGACATGGGTCTCTTTCCCTCTCTCTCCCTGTCGCGCTCTGCATGTCTTTGCCTGTCTCTATCTCTTTCTGTCTCTGTTGCTTTCTCTCTCACTTGCCCCTTTATCCTCTATCACCAACTTTCCCTCTCTGTCTCTTCTAAACAGGACATAAGGAAAGCGACTCATCCAAGAAACAAATTGTGTTTACCGAGCATGTCATTTGACTCAGTTTAACGCAGTTCCATGAAGACTAGCTGGTGTGCACCAGAAGCCAAGACAATGGGAATCTCAATCTGGCGATGTGTCCAGATGATGTGTGTGGATCATTTAAAGGGTCATTTAAAGAACACATCCAGCTGGAATCTTCATGAGCCTGAAGAACATGGTTGAGCTGCGGGGCAGAGTGGCACTGGAGGTGGATGGAGTCTGACGTAGCCATTTATGGAAGGCTAAACTGAAGTGGAAGAGTAGAAATAAGCCAGATGAACATAAAGGACAATGAATTGGGAAATCACTTGTATAAGAGCTGCAATTTGTTAGGGCATATTCTTTGTGAATATGCTAGAAATGTCCCAACATGGCTACCATACAGAAAGAGATGAGGCTGAGAAATCTCTGAGGTTGTTTCCTCAGCCTCAGAAGACACCGATGATTTCCAGGAAAACCGCAGGACACTCGGCGACACTGTTCAACCTTGACCATTTCCTTATCTTTGACCAAAGGTACTGAATCATTTGAGTACTTCTAGACATTTATTTAGAGTTTTAATTTATAGTAATGAGTGAAAAAGGCTAAGACCCGAAAGTCCATACCTATGATAAGAAATACAGGTCTGTGAAAAGTCCTATGACTCAAGGAAAAAACAGGAAGTTTTATAGTGATAAGTCTTAAGCATGCATGCTTTCATGTATGTGTGAAAATAAATAGATTTTAAGGAAGGTCATTGAAATAAGTCTTTGATATATTGAAGGATGAAGTAAAATAAGGGACCATTTAACTTAACATACATATTCCTAGGAATTCGGGCATCAGGATGAATTTCTTAGTTAAGATGTACTCAACTCTATTTGCTTTTCACAGCCTAATATACATACACAGATTTTTTTTTGTATGAAAGCAATGTGCTTCCTTTATTTTGAACATTTGAGAAGTTTGCTAAAAATGAGAGTTGAGCATAGTGGTGTGCATCTATGATTCTAGCACGAATGTGGTGGCATGAAGCATGAATGTGGGACCAGCCTATGCTACAAAGAGAGTTCTTATCTTAATGACAAAGAAGAAAAGAGGAAATAGAGAAAGAGGAGGAGGAGGAGGCCGAGGGGGAGGAGGAAGAGGAAGACAATGAAGGAGGAGGAGGAGGAGGAGGAAAAGGAGGAGAAGGAGGAAATGGAGAAGTAGTTATAAATTCTAGAATCAAAAACTTAGTAAATTATATAATACAAGGTTTTAGTGTGTGCATTGGATGAAACAGAAGAATAATATGGAATCAATGAAGCCAACTATAAACATATTCACTGCACTGGGAACCTCTGTAGACACTATTAACTCTACGGGGTTTTCAAAATCTTGATCTTGCTGTTTGGAAAAGACAATGGATAATGGCCTTCGGTTATGCAAGCAATACAGTGCTTCATAGCAATTTGGATAAATATAAACAAGTTGGTAAAATGACTAGAGAAGCAAAACTTCAGAAGAAAGAATAACAAGCTTTAATTCAACTGAATTAGAAATCCTTCAGATGTATGCAGGTAAATACTACAAATGAGATCTGCTGTAGAGTTATTCAAGGGGTACTAGTACTGTTGTACTTTAAATACTGCATTCTACAGCATATTCGACCATCCAGGAGGTTTAGAAACCTTCAGATACAAAGAAGCCATTGACAGTGAGAACACTCAGCAAAGGACAGTTTCTCACGATGCCTAGCAGTCTACCTTTCTGAAGTCATTTCTTCTTCCCCTGGCTATACTAGATTCGAGTCTTGGAGTCTCTAAAAGCCCTAGACTGAAGATCAGGTTGAAAATGGATTGTGGATTCTCAAGTGTTCATGTTCGTAAAAACAGTAAAATATGTAAAAGGAAAAGAGCTTGACTGTCTGCCATCTAACTGTCTAGTTTCTCCTCTGCGTGGGAGGTGTGCCCTTTGGCTTCCTTGTTGCTGCCCCCGTGGGAAACAGGAGGCTGCCATCATCACGGTGGTGATATAAAGTGGTCTTTAATCCTCCAGACCCAAGCCAGCAGCAAAGCTGGTGGGTCATTTCTCTTGGCTGGCTTTGCTCTTTGCCTTGGACTTCCAATTCTGCTCACTATCTGTTGGCTTTTTGAGCGTCAAGGTTTCTTGTGTGTCCTGAGGAGTGGCTGAGGCTGGCAGGTGGATGATAGTCCTGGCATTTACTTTCCAGTTGTGTTCAGAACCCTGTCAGAGATGACTGTGTTCAGCCCTTTGTCTGAGTCTCAGATTGAAGATGGAGTCCTCGCTTCATGGAGTCTTCGCTTGTGAAATCGGGAGGGTGTATGGCACCCTGGTGAGGCGTTCCTCACTGAGTTCTCTGGCACTGGCATTGGGCGGTCGCTTGTACCCTCCATGGGCCACCTCATTCTTTCATCAGATGGGGAACTGTCCCTACTCAGCAAAGCACGTGATCCACCTGTTGATCAATGAAAGAGAGCAGTTTAGGAAGCCTACTAATCGAGAGACATTTTTCAGCAGGGTGTCCTGGCCTTGACCCTGAATTCTGAGTCATCTTGATGTAAACCAGCCCTCTGGTGCCAGGAGAGAAAGGAGGTATACTAATTCTGTCGTGGGGTTCACAGAAGACAGGGCCGTGTTTTCCTCGCGTGACTGGGCAGGAGGAGCTCCCTATCAGGTGTCAACACTTGGGCTTAGATTTCTGGCCAGGGTGGCTTCAAGCTTTCTGTAGACCCAGTACCTTCTGAAGGCCCAGGAGAATGGTGGATGAAGGTCCTCTCTGTGTGTTTTCATCTGAATGAAACAACGTATTTTTCCCTAAAAATCCACGATTGTTGGAGATTTGCTATTCGCATTACAATTTGAGGTATGCATTTTAAAACCTTGAAATCAGTCTTCACAGTGGGAAAATGAGATTCAATGGTTGACTGTTGTCAAACACAATGTTTTCAGAATATAGTTAATTTGTAAGCTGAGCTGGGTCACCATCACAACTACTTAAAAACATAGAAATAGCTTATTTTTGGTAGTGCCTTCTAAGCTGTCACACTTTTTTCTACCTAGGTGATAGCTGGCTATGTTCAAATTCTTCATAGGGTTGGGCCTGGAGATGTTCACAGTCCGTTTCCTTCCGGATCCAGACGGAGAGACAGGATTTCAAGAGTTTAGATCGGATGCCTGGGCCTGGCCCACGAGGAGCAAAGGGAATTTGTTTCCCTTCGGGATGTGATCACTGTTAATTCTTCATGAACTTGGCTTCTGCTAAACATATATTGTGCTTTGCTCTGATAGGAAATTCATATTGTTAAACTCTATGTGAACTCAAGGTATTAATGTAGAGTGCTTACTAGCGAAAACGACTTTCAAATGTCAGATAAAATTAAATAACATGGCTTAATAAAATAAGCTTGTTTCCGAAAATCTGTTTTTCATATTTGTGAAAGAATTATCTGTCCTGTTATTCAAACCAAGATATTGCCAGCACAGGGAAAAGAGACACTCTTTTATCAATTATCAAGAGAGCCATTGATTTCACAAAGCCAATTAAAGTATTTCTGGAGGAACAAGTAAATATTAGTTTTAGAAACATTTCTCTTTTCAAAAGAGATTTGATTGACTAGAATAAAGAGTACTAAGTAGAAATGAGACGTCCTGTTTATTATCCAAGGCACAGTTAGCTGTTGGGAGATTGCTAGTTCTCAGAGTTGTTAACTGAGCTGACTTTGTCTGGTCAGCCTTCACTATGATATACACTTGAAGTATATGAAACTATTTTATGACCATTCAGAAAGAATTCTAAAATATGCAAATCTCCCCCACCCCCCTTTTGCTGGTACTGGGGCTTGAACTCAGGGCCTGATCACTGTCTCTTAGCTTTTAAACTTAAGGCTGGAGCCCTACCTCTAGAGCCACAGCTCTACTTCTGGTTTTCATGGTTAGATAAGTCTCATGGACTTTGCTGCCCAGGATGGCTTTCTTTGCTAATGCTTATTATCTATTCGGTCTCGTATTCAAATTTTAACCTTTCACACATAATATAATGCATATTGATGAGAACACTATACACACATGTTATTTTCGAATGGAAAAATGTTAAAAACAGAAAAATATTATTACAGGGAACAGGCTGTGGCTTCCCCTCCGTCCTATTCCGGCTGTCATGTAGGATGGAAAGGAGTCAGTGACACCCTTTGTTTGGGATTTGTTCTTGTGGGTCTGATAGAAGTTTGAAGCAAATTCCTTCCACCCTGTCACCCTTGCTAGTACAACAGACGGGCCCATGATCTGCTCTCACCCAAGTGTCTTCATGAGTGAACAGATTCCAGAGCATTTTGTGCTGGCCAGTTTTATGTGTCAACTTTCCTGGGCTAAGGGTTACCCAGATGGCTCGTAACATGTTGGTTTAGCATCAAGAAAATCAGTGAGCCCAGGGATATCTCAACTGTGTTCCCTTGGACTTCTTCCTTCTGCTTAGCTTAGAGATACCTTCTCTTCTCCTGGGTAGCACCATCTAGCTTGTGTTAGTCTCTCACTGTGGTGAGAAAGTCCTGAGAAAAACAACTGAAAGGAGGGAAGGTTTCGTTTGGCTATAATATCTAAGGCTTCTGTCAGTTGTCTGCTGGGTCCATTGTGGTGGGGTGAGGCTGAACATTAGGATGAGGGCCATGAGGTAAAGCAGAGAAGCTCAACTCATGAAGGACAGGGAGCTAGGAGACGCAGGGCCCTGGACAGGATGAACCCACCACAAGACACCCTAAAGACCTACTTCCTTCAGCTTGACCCCTACTTCTGGGAGTTTCTACCGCCTGCCTCTAATGCCATCCAATCATGACCCATTAAAGGATGACTCCACAGATGAAGACAAAGCCTTCAGTGTCCAATCGCCACTCAGTGGCTGGATTTACCGGCTGGGGCCCAACTCCTCCACGTGCGTTACAAGTGGGAGACGCTTCATAGCACATACTTCTACTTTTATACATTTTTTTCCAGTTTGTTGTATAACCTTTCTACATTTTATAAAGGTATAACCTTTATACCTTTTGAGTGGGTTTGCATAACAACAGAAAACAGCCACAATCTAGATAAACACATGATGATGGGGATTACTAATTACCAGAAATAACTCAATTCTTAAACATGGGACTATGGGCCTGCCTATTTTACAAGAATGCTCCATGTATCCTTAGGAATAAGCATTTGAGAGTGAATTACCTTGGAGAGACCAGGGAGTAGAATAAGAACAATAGATCAAAGGGAAAAGTTAAAATCGGAGGGAGGTTTTTGCCTTGATTTGCACAGATAGAAAGGAGCTCAGGACTGAGGAGGGCAATGGACTTTCCTCCCATGCAAAGAGAGAGGGACTCAGGCTTCTACCCAGCTCTACTTGTGAGCTGCACCTCTACTTCTGAACCCTCGGTGGTTATTGGAGATAAGTCTCATGGACTTTTCTTCTCAGGATGGCTTTGAACCTTGATCCTCAGATCTCAGCCTCATGAGTAGCTGGAATTAGAGGACCCATTTTTAACTGTGTGGAGGAAGAATTTCTATGAGTATAGGAAAATACAAAGGGATGTCTTCAGCTAGTCCTGAAGAGCTTTATTCCATTACATTTCTTTCTCTGCAACCTTTGGGAAAAAAATGACTTGTCATTCTGCTGATCCCACCTTCCCTCTGAGAACACGCCATTTGGGATTTGGCATTCTGATCATTCTGCATCCATCATGAAGCAGTACAATGTCCCAGGATAAATCAACTGCAGCTGCTTTCTCTCTGTCTGGGAGATTTGTCTGCCATGGTAGCTAAAGACACACTGGAGGGACAAAGAGCTTCATTCTAGTTTTAACACATCACCTGTGGCATTTTTTCATGCATTTCCCAGGAAATATTTCCAAGTAATCTCGGGGATGATGCATTTCAACACCTTTTGCCAGCACCACTGAGACTATCTGCATGTAGTGATGTAATTCCATCCTCTCACAGTTCAGAGGCTTAGTAAGCAGAAAACTCTACGTCTTGTCCAGGCAAGTCATTAACCAGGACACACACACACACACACACACACACACACACACAGGTTCAGTAGACATGAGCCTCATTTTTATTTGTACTCAGTGATGGTCGAGAGAGTGTGGTTATAGTGTTCTAGCTTCTATGATTGATTTGATCATGATCTAAGACCTTCCTCAACACAGAGCACATTTCCCTTCCAGACCCAAGCACGGAGACCGTTCTTTCTGCTGCCACTTTGCCTCTGCTTTATGGAAGAGCTAGAACAATGCAAGCTGTCCATAAACTCAGGCCGGGCAGCTACTGTACCTCTAATCTCTATAGCGTCCCACACTACAATATTGCTCCCTTTTCAGGATACATATATATGTATTTTTTCTTTTCTTTTTTTGTTTTTCTTTTCCATATCTGGTAGGCTTCCCCCCCCTTAATCCTGGGGTTTGAACAGAGGGCCTTGTGCTCACTTATCTTGCTGGCTCAGCTGACGCCCTACCACTTCAGCCCTGATTTTGTTTTTGCTTTTTGCTTTGGAGATGGACTCTCACAGAATTTTCTGCTCAGGCTGGTTTTCAACTGGGAGTCTCTAAATCTCTGTCTCCTGAGTGGCTAGGATTGCAGGCGTGAGCCACTGGTGCTGGGCTTTTATTAAGTGGTGAACTGGCTTTACAGCTCCTTAGATTTCTTTGACCTTCATTTCTTTGACGTTTGGCTTTCCTTTTTGACTATATTCCTATTACTGAGGATAGGAATGACAATGGAGACTCCTGCAGACTTCTGGGATTCCTTTTAAAAACCGCTTCTGGCAGTGGGCTGACGATCCCTGCGCACCTGCCATCGCCCTGTCTGCCACAGCCCCTGCTTTTGCTCAGCCCTGCACGTGGCCACATACCCCGACCATTATCCAGGCTCCCTCCTGCATCCTGAGCTGTTCTCCCAGCTCTCCCCGCCCTGCCGCCCTTCCTCTTCAAGCCTCTTTCTGTTTCCATGACTGCTCTTGTCCTAGATCACCTTCCTCCGCCCTGTGCCCAGAGTGATCTTTAAAAACCCAACCCTCCGTTCCTGTACTTACAGCCATTAGAGGCTTCCTCTGCCCGTAGAATAGACAATGAGCAAGGCTGCCTTGGAAGATCTTAACTGCCTGGTCTGGCGCTGGCCGGCCTCTTCTGCTGCGTCTCTCCTCACATCTCCTCTGGAGGCTCCATTCCTCAGAGCTCCATGAACACACCGCACCACTCCCTGTCCTGGCTCTGGTGGTTGGTGGCTCCTCTCTGCCTATCAGCCAGCTCTCATCCAGCCTGGGTCAGATAACTCCTAGGGCCAGATTGCTTTCCCATAATGCACTTCTGTGGCAAGCATATTTATAGTCACTTTGCTAATGCCACCTTCCCTCCCAGATCACAGTATCCACTGGGGGCAGTGGGCAGGTTTATTTGTTCCCTGCTCTACCCCTCTATGCCACTAGGAACCTAGAATTATCCCCATCGATACTTGTTGGGTGGATGATTTATCAAGCTGGTTAACGGCTTATTCAAAGTTCACTGCTCTTGAAAGAGGCGAGGACAGTGCACCTTTGAAACACAGCAGCTGGGTGCCCAAGTTTCCTTATTCCGTCTTCTGCCTATAAATACTTCTGGGGGCAAACTAGATGTTTTCTAGTTCCACACAAGACTGTTTTGTGTCCCATTGGTTTCCTTATGTCTCAAATGTTTCCTCTGAGCCACGTCTGAGCCTCCATCCTGAGGGAAGGGCTCCTCATCTGTTTCTTGTAGGAGATAACACCATATTAGTCTTGAATGAGTGTGACAAATTTCGAGCCAAATCCATCATCCAAGTAGGAGGCAAGGCTTGGCAGTTCAATCCAATGGAAAATGTAGGAGGTAAAGGGGCCATGCGGAACTTATTTGTGAACTGTGGGCACTCAAAGTGACAGGCTAGAAAGGCCCAAACGAAACAAGGAGGCGAGCATCTCTTCCTCCCCAGAAACCTGTCCAAGCCGCTTCTTCTCTAGACAACAGGCAGGAAATTCCCTGAGCAAAAAAAGACCCATTGTATCCTGTACACAAAAAGGTAGGAATGTTCTAGAATATGGTACTTTGGCCACTACTTTGGCTCAACCAAAGTCAGCACCCTTGGTTCCTTTTGTTCCTTCAAAATCTATATACAAGTGACTGCCAACCTGACTGCCCCACCTCCCCAGCCTGCGAGTCTCCGCCACCTCCTCTGGCCCCCTCCTGCAGACACGCGCCTTCTTTCTCTAGAGCTTCTTGGCTTCCACTTCCAGGAACGAATGTTCTCTCTCGAAGCTGGAGAGTCATTCAAAAGCATAATGGGTCAGATGGCTCTATTGCTTAGAACCTTCCAGTAACTTCCAACACTTGAAGAAAAAAATCAGTAGCTATACTCTGGCTTACAAGGCAGATGTGACCATGAGATAGGGAGAGACTCAGAGGCCATCTGCGAGAGTTGTCTCCTGTCAAGCTCTGCCTGTGTGCCCTGATTTCTTCTCTCCCTCCCTCCTGCCTTTCCTCCTTCCTGCCTTCCTTCCTTCCTTCCTTCCTTCCTTCCTTCCTTCCTTCCTTCCTTCCTTCCTTCCTTCCTTCCTTCCTTCCTTCCTTCCTGTCTTTCTGTCTCTCTGTCTCTCTTTCTTTCTTTCTTTTTCTTTCTCTCTCTCTGTCTCTCTCCCTTCCTCCCACTCTCCCTCCCTCTTCCCTCCCCTTTCCTCCCTTTCCCTCCCTCCCTCCCTCCCTCCCTCCCTCCCTTCCTTCCTTCCTTCCTTCCTTCCTTCCTTCCTTCCTTCCTTCCTTCCTTCCTTCCTTCCTTCCTTCCTTCCTTCCTTTCTTCCTTCCTTCCTTCCTTCCTTCTCCTTCCTCTCTCTCCTATCTCTGTTGGTCTTGCTTTTCTATGAGCACCTAACTCCAGTTGACATTCTGCCAGTTTGCTTGTTCATTTATTTTTGTCGTTCATTTATTTTGTTGTTCATTTACTTTTGGTTTCACCCAGCACAGTTAGAAGTCCAGGTGGCAGGGAATTGGCAGATCTTGTTCAATATTGCACATACAGCATGTGCAAAGTCAGGAGTCAGAGAAAGGATTTGTTAGTTGAGTAAGTAAGTAAAGGCACAACACTCAGTCTTCCTTGTGTCTCTCCCTCTTAATCTCCCTGAAGGGAGCATTTCCCCAAATCAGAAAGGAGACCTGGTGTTAGACTGCACACACACAGTAGCCAGTTAATACTCTGGTGAGTGCGTTGCGTTGTGTCAGCTGCCTTCCTTTCTGGGGGATTTAGAGATGAGGCCGCATGTGTCCCATGAACATCATCTATGGGGAGTGCTGCTGCCAGCTCCTTCAATCTGTGCGGGCCAGGGCTCCGGCCTGGCACGGGGCTCATTGCCCTCAGAGCAGCTGGGCTGGGGCTATCTATCCCTCACTGAGGCCTCATTAGCAGCTTGTAAACATGGTTTTGCTTTTGGAGACTGGCTCTGAAGTAACAATGGGACCCTTTGACTTAGACCTTTGGAGAAATGAACCCATTTATGCTTGCAAATGTGAGCCACTCGGGAACAAAAGTTTACCTCGAATCTTACAAATAGTGTGTTTCTTTGTAGACAAAGGCACCAGGCTTTAATAAGGTGTGTTTGAGCCTTTTTTGGGTCTTCCGTGACATTTCTTGGTGCCTGGTCTCACGGTTAATTTCCACAAGTCTCTGCTCTTTCTTTCCCCCGCCTCTCTTTCTCTGGTATGAGAAGCCGGTGAGGACCCTTCCTTTCAGCATTCTCTGCAGATTAATGCAGACACACAGAGAGGCAGACACAGCCTCCATGCACAGCCTGATGATCATTGTTGACAGGCCTTTGGATAGGTTGCAATTGTAGGCAGATGCTCTCAGTATTTTACTGCCACTGGAGTTTGACCTCAGAACCTCAGGATTGCTAAGCAGGTGCTCTTCTGCTGAGCCACGCCCCCAGCCCCATTTTCTGCTGATTGTTTCAGATGGGATCTTGCTCCCGGTGGGTCCAGTCTGTCTACTTTGGGGATCCCTGCTATTGTGGTGAGGACAGGCACACACCTAGGTGCCCAGCTTCCTCTGTTGAGATGGGGCCTCATGGCTCTCGGTCTGGCTTGGCCTAGAACTCAGGTCCTCCCAATCTCACATTGCCACGTGCCACTGTGCCCAGCTATGGGCTGAGAAAGGGGCTTATGAGCTTTTTGGCCTCCAACGATAATCCTTTCATTCGCAGCCTCCCGAGTAGCTAGGATAAGAGGTGTGGGTCACTGATACTCCCAAGTAGCTAGGATAAGATGCGTAGGCCACTGATACTCACATCTCTGCTTTTTAATTTCATTTCCTTTCTCTCCTTCCCTTCCCTGCCTTCCCTCCTCCCTAATGTCCTACTCCCTTCATTTTTCCTTTCCTTCCATCCTTCTCTCCCTTCTTCCTCCTCTTCCTTTCTCTTTCCCTCCATCATTCCCTCCCTCTTTCCTCCCTCCCTTCCTCTCTACCCCTTTCCTCCTTTCCCTCCATTCCTTCATCATTTCCCCCTTCTCTCCCTTCCTTCCTCTCCTCCTCTCTTTTCCTCCCTCCCCCTCCCCCTCTCCTCTCCTTCCTTTCTCTTCTCTTCCCTCCCGTTCCTTTCCTTTCCCTTCCCTTCCCTTCCCTTCCTCTCCCCTCTCCTCCCCTCTTCTCTCTTCTCCTCTCCTCCCCTCCCCTCTCCTCTCCTCCCCTCCCCTCCTCTCTCCTTCCCTTCCTTTCCCTCCCCTCCCTCTTCTCCCCTCCTCCCCTCTCTTCCCTTTTCTTCTCTCCTTTCCCTTCCCTCCTCTCCTCTCCATTACATCTCCCCCTCCTCTTACTCTTCCTCCTACTTCTCCTCCTCCATCTTCCTCCTCCTCCTGCTCTTCCTCCTGCTCCTGCTCCTCCTTCTCTTCCCTCTTCTTCCTCCTCCTCCTCCTCCCCCTCTTCCTCCTCCTCCCCCTCTTCCTCCTCCTCCTGCTCCTCCTCCTGCTCCTCCTCCTCCTCCTGCTCCTCCTCCTCCTCCTGTTCCTCCTCCTCCTCCCCCTCTTCCTCCTCCTCCTCCTCCTCCTCCTACTCCTCCCCCTCTTCCTCCTCCTCCTGCTCCTCCTCCTGCTCCTCCTCCTGCTCCTCCTCCTCCTCCTGCTCCTCCTCCTCCTCCTGTTCCTCCTCCTCCTTCCCCTCTTCCTCCTCCTCCTCCTCCCCCTCTTCCTCCTCCTCCTCCTCCCCCTCCTCCTCCTCCCCCTCCTCCTCCTCCCCCTCCTCCTCCTCCTCCTCCCCCTCCTCCTCCTCCTCCTCCCCCTCTTCCTCCTCCTCCCCCTCTTCCTCCTCCTCCTGCTCCTCCTCCTCCTCCTGCTCCTCCTCCTCCTCCTCTTGCTCCTCCTGCTCCTCCTCAGTCTGCTTCTCTTCTCTTTTCTCTGTCTTGAACATGGCGGTTTTCTTAGACAGCAGTGTCACACAGCTCTGGGAGTTGTGGTGACTCTGTGTGCTGTAGGGTTTTCCCTGCAACTCTTTCTCCTCCTCTGGGAAACCTTGCTGTCTTCCTTGGCCGGTCACAAGGATTTTTTGATCCTCTATTTTCCATCTACCAAGACTTGAAAGAGTTCTCGGGGTCAGAGTGGATTTAAGGAATGGCCTGGGCAGGAAGTTGCCCAGGTAACTGAGCTGAAAAGAGGGGTTTGAGCATCTCCGACACGTGTGCTCGGGCACCCCTACAGCCATGGATACATCACCAAGTGGATGGAACCACGCAGTGGAGCCGCTTCACTGTGCCCAGCCCGGCCCCTCCCCATGGAGAAGAACCACCCAGCTGTTCCCAGAGGAACAGATGCAGCAAGGCAGAGATTCTGAAGCCACACAGTGCATTCTGCAGTGGAAGCGCAGGGTTAATTGAGTCCCTCCATTTTAATTCCTTTCTGTGCCTCCCAAGATGGTGTCCAGTTAGTGAGATGGGAAAATATGGTTTTTTTTTTGCCTCCTTCCTTTTGGGATGTGGGCGCTACTTAGTGCTGGGAAAATAAAATGGAGACATGAACAGACTTCTATGTATATAGTAATAGAAATGAATCTTGTCCTTACTTAAAACACATCTGGACCCTATTTTTAAAGCATCTAGCAGCTAATGGCAGCGGTCTGGGGGGGAGCAGGAGGGCAGATGTGGTTTGCCCCTCCTTGGAGCGGAGGTGACCGGGCCTCTGTGTCCCTTTCTGATTAGTCAGGTAGAGCATGATGGGGGCCATTTCTGCAGGGGCCACTGGCTGGAGCCACCCGGGGTCACTCCCGCCCGAAGCGGGACCAGCGTTCCTTTGGTGAGGGTGGAGTCCAGCAGCTCACCTCACTTTTGCCTCGAGGAGACAGAAACATTTACTGATTAACC